TATACTGAAGAACTTTCTTGTTGAGGACAGCTCTGCTTTGGGCATGTCAGGGCAGGCCATTCCTGTCCCAGTCAAAATATACCAGTATTTTACATTCAGACACTCATGGAAGCAGGAACTAGAATGCAGATCTTCCCTTATTCCTTCAAATAAGAGAAAAAAAGCCCTTGGTTACAGTTTCGCCCTGGCTCTGAAATACTCTTTGGGTTTCAGAATGCCAACAGCATGTGCTGTGGAAATGTCCACCAGAAGGACTGTAACACAAAACTTCATGAGCTGATGCTTAGCCTTGGCCTATGAGAATCAGTGAAATGAGCTCAGACTCAAGTGACAGTGGAACCTGGGTTTCCCAAATCCTGCTTAAATTAATAGATCCTAAGCCATGTCTTCTGCTTGGGTAACAAAGAGAAAGAAATAACTTGGCTGTGCCTCCTAGTGCTTCAACAAGAGCTAAATGCCTTGTTCAATGCAGACAAAACTTGGGATGCTCCAGAAACAGCTGTGCAGCTGCAAGGGAATTTGAGACCTAACCTGTCCCCTTTTCTTCCGTAGGTTCAAATTTTCTTAGACTCTCTTTTATCAAACCAGCCATTAACATATCCAGAGCAGGTCACTAGGTATGTAAAGAATTCTAGTCTTAAAAAAATGGGCATGTAAAGGCAGTTTATTCTCTTTGTGGATCTAACTCCTGAGTTGAGACGACCATGCTGGAGGAGTTTTTATGTAGCTTTTTGGGTGAGGTGGGGAGAGCAGAGAGGATCCACCTCAAGCGCTTAAGTGTGTTTCTGAAGCAACAGCTGCTTTGTACTCCATACAAGTCCTACCAAGAGATCACACTCCAGCTGGGGACTGGCATAGCCTGCCTGCCTGTGCCTGTGCCATGTCCTCTCTGGCTCTGTGCCTGCTGGGGAGCAGTTGTAGGAAGCTCCTGCTGAGAGCAAGCTGAGAGCTCTCACTCTCACCACCAGCAGCGGATTTCATCTGGCTAGATCCCAGATGATGGAAGGTAATCTGTTGCATTCACTGCAGTTTTTGACTTCTCCCATCTGCTGTTGAAGATTGTATCAGTAGTTTTGCATCCCTAATTTGTAATTGATTTGCACTCCAAGTTGTGGGAACAAATAATTCCGTGCGTAACTTAGAGAATGTGGCCTGCGGAGTCTATTTGCAATGACCATATTAGTTAAATTACCAGTGTGATTAACTGTAAGAATGAATGTGCTTTCATAAATACCAATGCAATTATTTCTGGTAATTTATTCCACTCCTTACAGTATGGCTGCAGAATCCGAACTAGTGTTTTTCAGATAATATATTCCATATTTTGTGGTGGGGACTTGCGAGAAATTCCCTTTTGCTAGGGCAGTTATACTTACAGGGCTTCTACTAATTTGGAGAATATTTTCAATGTTCTTTTTTAGAGTTTAGGAAATGGTGAGTATAATTACTTTTATTGTAGGTACTCAGCAATGTAACAACAAAGTACACTTCAAAGCTCTCATTTCTGTATCTTTCCGTTTGGTAAGATTAACACAGCATGCACAACATGAGTGTATAAGTATATATACTTTAGGATTATAAAACCAACCTCCACTTTTACAGTGATATCAGTTCGATATTTATTTCTGAGTGAGTGGTGCACTTCCAAGTTACTAATGTAGCTAGAGGTTAGTATTGCCTTAATTGGGTTCATTCAGCTGTATGAAAAGACAAATATCTTTTCCAAAATTATCTGTAGTGAAAGAATAAGAGCAACTTTAAATCATATTTTTTGTTTGTTCCTTTTCATTTGGGTTTAGTATGGAATGCAGCCACATGAGTAGTTGAACACAAGAGAGGTGGTTTCAGTTTCCAGGCAGGAATGTGGGAAAACAGTTTTGCTTTAGTAGAGTGATATGATCTTCAACTAGATGCTCTACCAGGTACAGCTTAGAAGTATGTAACCAAAGGCTGTTTCTTTGAGCTGAGTAGCTATATTGTGGTTTCCTTGCTGCTTGAAACTTTTAAATTTGTTTTAATGATGAATTTATGAAACATAAATTATGGATGGCACAAATACTGTCTTTGTATTTAAATTGTTTGAGGAATTGTAGGATTATTTTTGCTTTATTAACATTTTTCCAGGGACAAACATATTGCTAGTACAGGGGACAATCAAATGGGGATATTTCTGATGTATTATTATAATTAGTTTAGGCAAGTTTCATCTAAAAGTTATATTCCTGTCAAAGGCAGTAGCTCAGGAGTCACACCACCCAGATCTGGATCTTCTGTTAATTCTATTCCAAGTTGCCATTTTGCTGTTAAAATCTTCAATTCTTACTTCAAGAAGCATCAACATCATGATTAGGAGCTATATTGATAAAAGGTCAGAACTTTCCCTTTGGAGACCCTTTGAGAGCACTGCCTGTTTCTATTGAAAATTGGGAAATAGTAGTTCACATAACCTCTTTTCAGCCCTTCTTAAGGTCAAAATAATTACTGTTTACCACTCGTACTCGCACAAAAGTACACATGCCTAACTTTCATGCTGTATCAAAGTTGTATCTTTGTATGCCTGTTGTCATGTGAACCAGACCACTTATTTCAGTTAAAATGAATGTGGGAAAGTAAAACTGCTTTAAATTAAAGTTTGTAGTAATGCTTTGAGCACGTGTGCCTCTATGAATAAGAATGGCAGTTGCACGAGTTTTGCCTTGGTTTCTCAGTAAATTGATGTACGATGGATATGTTCATTTTTTAATTCTGTTCTTCTACAATGAAGGCATGCAGACATAATCCTAGCTCAGAAAAAAAAAATCTACCTTGCAAATTAAAAGAAGTTACTATATACTCATTCACATTACATAATTGAACATATATTTCTTCCAAGCTCCCAAATCTTTGAAAGATGCGTGAAGATCTGAAGAATCATGCAAGATGGAGATATTCTATTAAATTTGCATTTTATATCATGTTTGCAGTAATGAATTGAGAATGACCATCATTCAGTGAGGCTGAATGAAAATGAATGATTACTCATCAAAAGAGTTCATTGAACAGAAGAGTAATATCCTGTGGAGCTTCAGAGTTGTGTGCCTTTCACATGTAACTATGATGTAGTGTACCTTTTCTACAAGACTACAGCACGATATTTTCCTGGCAGTTTGTGGGAATATTTCTTTGAAATGAGTGCTTTTATTTTAGAGCAGCTCTGGACCTCTGTTGGAAATCAGCTGCCAGCTTTCATTCATTGAGTATAAATAATAAACCAACAGGCACTTGGAACAGTGCAACCCAAAAGAAATGAAATTGTTGATTTCTGACCTTCATTTTTCATATATTATAGTAGCCTGGTACCTTTTTTATTTGCATTTTTTGCATCAGGTATTGTTGGGCATTTTTAGAAAAAGTAATTTCGATGCAATAAAATTTATTTTTTCATTCTACTGGGTACTGAATTTATTTGGGTAGCTGAAGTTCTAGAGGAAAATTATTACTTCTATTATATTTACTATTTGTGTGTAGTGATTAAAAGTGATATCTTAAGGAATATGTAGAAGGCTTGTAATAAGCAATATGATTTGAACCATGCATGATGCTGCTGTAGAAATGTCTCACTGCTGCTAAATATTGCAGAGTTATTAATCGTTCTTGACAAGGAGTCAGTGGTTTTCAAGGTATTTTTGGTGTCTAGTTCCCAGTTCACTACATTTCCCCTGTTCTTTATCTGACCTAATATTCCTCCTGACAGAGGGGCCTGGGAGATTTCAACCCACGCTGCTGCCTGTAGGACAGTGACAATGATTGCACACACTGAAATTGAGGTCTCTCTCCCATTCCCTGTGTGAGGGTGCAGATCCTCTTACTCTAAGCCAGTCCCTGTTCTCACACATTCCCCCTGGGTTGTGATAGTCCTCATCCCAGGACTATCTCCTCCTTTTGCTCATTTCCTTTTTCAAATCCCTAAAGCTTCACCACCCTCACAGGTCCAGAAGTTCTTCTGACCTCTAGTACATGATGAGGCAGAGAAGGTGTAAAGGGTACCAGATGAAACAAACAGCAGAAGGAAGTTGAGCCCATCGGTATCCGAAGATATTGGATATTACTTCACCCTCATTGTATCAGTATTTAAGAATTGTTATTATTTGTTGTAGTGTATTTAAAGTTTTTGCTCTTTTATAATATCAGTATATCACACATCATTGTGCTGCACTCAGAGGTGTATAGAAGAGATTAAATGAAATCAGTATGCAGAATTCCTTGCCCCATTGCAGAGCATTAAAAATCATAAATGACATGGAGTAGAAAAACTTGAGGTCTTGATCAAAATTCCTACAGTAAAACGCAATTATATTGTTGAGTATTTTTTCCCTTGTCTTATACCCAGACATCTGTCACATTGTTGTTTTTTACGAATAAAAGTAAACTATAGATAGACAAATTGTTACTCTTGGAGATGATAAAGTTTCATATCGTGCATAAAAATCAATACTGTATATTTTAAATATAAATTTAAATTTATCAGCTAGTGAAAAAAGAAAGCATGGGAAGGGTCCTTGATTTGTAGTTTATTGTCCTCACTAATGGATGTCTGTAACTTGATTTAGGAGATAATGACCAAATGTTTTTAAAACAGTAATTCATCTGAATTAGAACATTTCTCTGCAGGTTTTGACATCATGGTAACATTTTAATTCAATTCCTAAGAGGGATTTATTCATCCAGGGAAAATATATTTTAAACACACTAGACTATGGATTGTTTAAATCTGGTTACCTGCGTGGGCAGACTTGTGTTGTCTGACCTTGGAAAGCAGTCAGTGACAGAACTAAGATCCTGTAAAATAGATTTATGTTGCTGTTTGCCTGTTACTAAAACTGAAAATTACTGGATGTAAGTTTTGTTACAGGTCAATAGTTGGTGGCTCTGAGTGTTTGTGCCACGTGGAGCAGGGGTGTACAAGGTTGCCCAGCTGTGACAGCACAGTGGCATGGGGGCTTCTCTTTTGTCTCCAACAGAAGCAGGGGGCAAGAAGCTGCGGAGCACCGTCCAGAGGAGCACGGAGACGGGGCTGGCCGTGGAGATGAGGAACTGGATGACTCGCCAGGCGAGCCGGGAGTCAACAGATGGGAGCATGAACAGCTACAGCTCTGAGGGAAAGTAAGCGGCATTTTCAGCTGTGGTTTCTTGATGTTTCTCCATGAAACTGGTTGTTAGAGAGAAGCACAGTGAGTGCTGTAGGTCCTGTTCAGTCAGAATTCCCTTCACAAGCCAGTGTCGTTGATGGACTAAGCCTAAGTCTTCCCCTGTGATGGAAAGAGCCTCCCACTGTTGGTGCAGGAAGGAGGAGGATAATTTCTGCTGTTCCATGAGAAGGGCACATGGTGGTTCAGATCATCATCATGAGGTGTGTCAGGAGGGGAAGCAGGTGCAATACAACAGGTGAAACACAGATATGGATAAGTTCTCTTCCAAAATCTCCTGGCACACGTCAGTGCTATGCAAAGCAAAGCATTTCCAGAGCGTTTCCATGTCTCATTCACTGAGCTTAGGAGCTTTTCAAAAATTCTGCTACTTTCAACCTGAAGAATTTTCTGGCAGAAGTACGAATCTTTCATGTATCATGGTTATCATAAAAGCCCAAGTTAAAAACTTCTGAGTGATATACCTGAGACATTACCCAGCCAAATCTGATTGTGGGTTGATTTATTAGTGGTGTTCACAGCACTAGACAGTACATCTATATTTCACAATATGTCTTATCTGTCCAAGTTGATGCACTACATGCTTTTGAGATGGACTTTTGTTAATGATTGGTCATTACAAATTTCATTAGCTCTTGTTGCTCTGTAATGGGTCACAGATAATTTATGGCAAGCATTTTAGTTTTAAGTTACTTTGGTTATTTGCCACAAGGGATTTCAATACTGCTGTTGAATAGATGTCATTCTCAAAGACATTTTTAACAAAATATTTTGAATGAATAGCAATTTTGAAAATAGCAACCAGTATTTAGTCCAATGTCATCATTATTTCACTGTGTGCATTTGATATTTAGCTATTGAATTCACAGTAACTGAGAAGTGTGAGCAATTTTACCTTCATGTAACTAAGTCAGTGGTAAGGGTATGTGTTAGTATCTTAAGAAACTGGTCTCATATGCATACTTTGATAATTAACAGTGGTCTTTAATGCATTGGAAAAGGACAACAGTGATGAAAGAATACAAATTTGGAAATTATTGCGAGTAGTGCTTTCCTTACCTGATTGTTTATATGCTGGAGGCTAAATTGCTGCTTGTTGAATACTGGGATTTTTTAAATTACAGAATTGTTTTGTTAGTTCCTTAGAGTACTACCAAAACCACAAACATTAAGTGCAAAATATCTAGAAAACAAAAAACAAACACAAGCCAAAATAAAACAAAAAACCAAACAAAAACCACAAACAAACAAAGGGGAAATTTAAGTGTCTTTTTTGTTGTTTTCTTTTTCAATATTACTTCTAGTTTGATCTTCCCTGGTGTGAGATTGGCTGCAGACAGCCAGTTTAGTGATTTTCTGGATGGACTTGGTCCTGCCCAGCTTGTAGGACGACAGACTTTGGCAACACCATCAATGGGTAAGTGTTTATGTCCTCTAGATGTGATATATTCTATTTGGTCAGGTAATTAGAACATAAAATTTATCTAGACTCCCTTTAAATATGGATTTCTCTTGTGCTTCTGAACAACTCAGTTAAGAACAAAGCTGTAACCTCAGCCAAAGTTGAATGTAATCATGGGTGCTTATGAAGACATGCAAAAGTAGTGAATTGCTTTGAAAAATTCAGTCTTTCATGTCTTCTTCAGTTTTCCATCTTTAAAATAGGGCTAATGAGGCCAAACTTTTCTCTGAATCACTTGGAATATTGTATAAAAATTGGTAACTTAGTTGCAAAATATTTGTTATTATGGTGTTTACAGGTTTTTATATTCAGAAGTTATCTTCATAACTTATCTTAAACTAGGGACACAGTCAAGAGATTTCAAGCAGTTTTACATGGCTGCTTTTGTATTAATTCCCTTCCTGCCTTTTTTTTTTTTATGTGAAACTCTTAAGAAATAGAAATTAATTTGAAGTAATACAGGCATGGAAGATGTGAGACAAGGTGTTATTGCAAAGGTTTAAAATTGTTTAGTAACATAAACAGCAGTGAAGAGGATAAATATTAGACTATCTAGTAGTGTTAAAATCTGGATCATATTTACTGTTAGAAAACAGATGATACAAGTCAACACATATTTATCCTAGAAATTTTGTAAACATTTCATATACTAAAGTAGTTCAGAATTACAATGCTGGGATTTCTTTTTGTCATTTAGGAGATATTCAGGTGGGAATGATGGACAAGAAAGGACAACTGGAAGTAGAAATAATCCGAGCCCGTGGCCTTGTTGTAAAACCAGGTTCAAAGACACTGCCAGGTAAGGAAGAGAAACCTTAGTAACAGTTTTAGCACAGGGCCAGGGGTTGGACTTGATGATCCTAATGGTTCCCTTCCAACTCAGTATTCAGTAAGAGTAGCATTCTACCAAAGAAGTCTGTGGCTTTTCTGTTCAGCTTTGTCAACTCTTAACAAATTCAAATCTCAGTAGATTACGATGTTGTATACTGAAATGCATACTGTATTGAAATGATACACCAAAAAATCAGCCCTACTTCAGGAGGAAATTAAAAATCAGGCTGCCAGAAGACCCAAAAGTATTTTTGGTAATAGTAACGGAATCCTTAGTTACAGGGTAGAAAGAAAGGTAAATTCTGAAGATTTATATAGTCTTAGGAATGAAGAGGGAATCAAGAGATATGGAGTAGGTATCTACTCGAAAAGTAGACCAATATTTGATACTTTCTTCTTATTTTATAATCTGATGTCCTGTAACACTATGTGAAAAGGACAATATAATGATATTTTTAGCAAGCTCTTCAGCCGAAATAGAAATTGTGTCAGTCTTTTCTTCACTGATTTTCACCTTGTAGATAGTTTTAAATTACTAACAATTTGGAGCATTGATCCAAATCTCACCAAAGTCATTGCAAGTCGTGCATTTACTTAATAGGCCTATTTTGCATACTGTACAGTATAAGGATGCTATATATAGGAATGCCTGATTTTTTCAGGTCAAAATCTGAATTGTTTCATGGTAAAAGAGACATACAAAAAGAAGTCAAGAAAAAAATATACCCAAGGAGAAGAGTAAAGAAAATGTATGGATGCTTTGTATCAGAATAATTGTTAATATTGCTTGTGGAGATTTGTTCTTTTAAGTTATATATCCTTTAAAAGCAGATTTTTATATGATGATAGAAAATGTGTGTGTTGCACAAAAAAATCTGGACTTCTTTACCTACTGTTCTTTATTTTCATTCTTATAAGCACCATATGTAAAGGTGTATCTATTAGAAAATGGAGTCTGCATAGCCAAAAAGAAAACTAAGGTAGCAAGAAAAACGCTGGAACCACTTTATCAGCAACTTCTATCATTTGAAGAAAGTCCCCAGGGGAAAGTTTTACAGGTAATTTGCATAAATATTTCTCTGAACCTGAAAATGTCACCTGTACAGTTTTCACTGAATGAGTTTCAAGCTTGTTTCAGGCTTCATTTGGCAATAAATTCTCATATTTGATATACTTGCTGAGTAGATAAACACAACAGTAATAGCTATTTATTCAAGTAGAAACTGAGTATGCAAGTAGAAGTGAGCAAAAGTGAGTTATAGATTATTTTGCATCTGCTGTATGTATGAGCTCCTCTCACTGGGTTTTCTCTGGTATTGTGGATAACTGCTGTTTGTGCCCAGATCATTTCTGTCACTGCATCATGATTAGTATACACAGAACTAAACTATGTCAGCAGTCATATATTTCATTCCTTACTGTAATTAAATAAGCAGAGAATTCTGACAAATCACATTAAAGCTTTTGAAATTTTTGCTGATTTTTTTTCTATTTTCTTGTGTTTCTTTTCCTGACAGATAATTGTTTGGGGAGACTATGGACGTATGGATCACAAATCCTTTATGGGAGTGGCACAGATACTTTTAGATGAACTGGACCTGTCCAACATGGTGATTGGGTGGTTCAAACTTTTCCCTCCTTCTTCCCTAGTAGACCCAACCTTAGCTCCTCTCACTAGAAGAGCTTCCCAATCATCTCTTGAAAGTTCAACAGGACCTTCGTATGCTCGCTCATAGCAGCTGTGAAACTGTTGTCATAGCAACCAGCGTTACAAAAAAATAAAATTACAGGTCGCAAACCCTGGTAACACTGCATGCTTAATGTTGTGTCTTCTGAGCCTGTTTCTAGGGCTGCAACGCGATCCTGTGTTCTCAAGGAAGTTGCACACATTGTGCCCTACGGAAGGCCCTCAGGTGATGGACTGAAATCATGAAGAACTGATAGGTTTGGAGTTCAGGGACTCAGTTTTGGTCCAATCTGAAGCCATGGACTAAACTAAAAAAACCAATCTGTTTCATGCAACAAAAGTCCTTTTCAATGGCATATCTGTTTTGTTGCTCCTGTTTCTTTGTTTATCTGCCCTCCCCTCCTAAAGTTTGGTTATGCCACAGAAACGGAGTTACCCTCCCATGAAGCCACGTTACAAGTCAGTTAGCAGACACTGGAAGAAAGGAAGAATCTAAGGATGCTGGAAAAGTCAACTGGCACTTGCAGCAGTTGCTTGAGATCTGAAAACTCTTCATATTGAAAAGGCTCAAGACCTAAAGTGGCGGGCTTCATCCCCCCAGCTGTTCACACAGTGAAATCCCAGACATGATGGACTCTCTGAAAAATAAAGTTCTGTGGATATACTGTACTGTATGAAATTAAGAAACTTTTTTGCATGGACACAGATTTAGCTGAACACTTAAATTATTTTCTTGGGGCTGCAACTTGCAAAAAAAAAAAAAAAAAAGAATAAATCAGCCATTTTCAACAGTTTATATTATTTTTAAAAATAAATTTCACTAGTGCATGGTTTTAAAGGGAAGAGAATGCACCAGGGTGATACAAAGACACACCACGTTTATCATTCTTTAAACCAGTCATGGTCTGTGTTTTTGCAGACTTATATTAAAAATAAAAAATAATTTCTAGCAAATATTTAAAATTCTGTTTATGTGACAAGAAATAAGTGTAATATATTAAATTTATTTAAATGTAAAAGGTACAAGCCTTGTAAAGTTCAACATAATGTGCAAATTGTACACTTCTTTTACCTCCTTCTTTCTCTATCTCTCCTCCCAGTCTCCCTTTTTCCTTTTGCTCTTTTTCCCCTCTACCTCCCAGGATGATCAGCATATTCTAAAATGGCTACCTTTTGACTTATTACTGTCTTATGCCCCATATTTGGTTCAGGGTTGCAGATTGTTCTGCATTTCTGAATTATTTGAGAAAAATATTGTTTAAGAGCTTACTTTTTTTCAAGCATGTTGAAAAGGATTTTGCAACATGGCTTGGGAGTACATTAATGTAATTCAGCATGTATTTGATAAAGAAGATATTTGAACTTTTGCAATTTATTGTACAGTGCATGGTAACTTATTTTCATTTTTTCTCACCTTCAAATTGAATTCTACAGCAAAATACTGGAATCATGTGGCCGTTGTAAGATGTCTTCAATAAATTTGTTTTCAGCACCAGCATCTTTCATTCCAAGACTGAACTATTATTTCTTGAAGGTTTTTGGAAAGAGCAAAAATTAAGTACCTGATTGATTTTTAGGAAAACAGTTTAAGCACTTTTATTTGCACTAAACCAAATCGATTGCTACATTTTTGAAATAACAAAAGCAACAAAGGTTACAAATCCATACAGTTCTTCTGCTGTAAAGTTCAATTTTCATAAATTGCATTTGCGTTGCGAAAGACATAATTAGGTAATATCAGTCTGAAAAGTATCAGTCTTTGGTTGGTAAAATAGCCTTAAAGAAAGCTTACTGGTACCACTCTCAGCTATTTGCACCGTTTCCAGAACCTCACTGCAGATAATGGATCTTCAGAACCCTGGGTTTTGTAGCAGACAGTAACTACCGTTGGGTGGTGCTGCAAGTTCAAGCTTCTCATTAAGTTATGTTATTTAAAGGGAATGTAACTGGCTAATGTTTAATAACAAAATATCCTTCTTTTTTTTTTCCTGGGTCTTTGTATGCCTTTAATACCTACTTAAGGTTTAATATTGAAATCTTGCAATAATTTTTGAAGTACATTTACCTATATGGCCACACAGAATTACTCTGATTTTATTTGAAAATTTATTGAAGTTTCCCATTAACAAATTGTACATGCCTCTTAAGAGGGAAGAAGTAAGAACAGTATCACTTATAATGCCTTTTACTTTGTGCAATATCATAGAAATGAGATTGTGTCTTGTCTGCAGAGTTTATCTAATGGACTATTGTTAAGTTAATAGACAGACTGGTAAAATTATATTTATTGAAATAATTTAGACACCTGTCTACCAGCAGCAAATAAATACTACTAACATGCAGTCTACAATATCCCCTAGGATATTAAACAAAAATACATAACCATTTTCCTGACACTGTGAGATGTGCTCACACATTCTTGTATGCATAGTCCTCTATAAATTATTTCAAATTTTAAAATCAAGGACATGACGCATGGAAGGTTTGTACATAATTGTCATTATGCAGTATTTATTTTAAAAAAAATTAATGTATTTTTTTTAATTTTCACACGTCTGCAATTCTACTTATGGTTTAGTCATGTAAATAGTACTAATCCAGTGATCACTGCTGTCTTGTAAATAGTACGTTTTAAAAAGTTAAAAGGAATTACAGTTGGGGAAAAAAAAGGGCAGATTAGGCCTGTAATGAACACCAACTAATGTAAATCAATCTCATTCTGGTGATGGTATTTAACACTTTAAATAAAACATTTTCTTTACAGAATTTGTGTGCAGAATTTTGTTGCTTTTCTCTAAGGTGGTCAGCAGTATCCTTCCATCCTTGCACACCCTTCAGTGGAGCTGGAGGCGAGCGGCTCACTCAGCTGGAGAACGCACAGGCTTTTCTCTTCCCAGCAGGGCTGCAGCTGGAATGCCACTCTCATGGTGCCACGTTCCCTGCCAGGCTCAGGGAGTGGAGGGAGGCCAGGCGTGCCCATCACCCAGCCAGGCCATGGTCTCTGCGCTCCGGCCACCCTCGGGCTCCCACATCCCACAGGGCACAGCTCCCAGGATGGAGCTGGCTCCAAGCTGCTGGCTCTGGCTGCCAGGACGTGCTCCAGCTCCAATCCAAGCAGCACACCAAACGTGCTGAGACCATGAAGTGCTCCCATCAGCTGCTCTGGAGTGGCTGCACCATACAGCTAGACTTCCACCCTATCCCTAAATACCTCCTGATAATAGCTGCCTTTTTTATTTTTCATGAGCAGGGTACAAATGAGGACAGAATGCCCACCTGACAGTGGAGGCTGCAAGGACTCATGCAGCCTCTGCAGAGGAGAGCACCACACACCACACACACTGCAGGTGCTGTAGAGGACCAGCACCTCTACAGCAATGAGGGGTGGGTGGAGATGGGAGAGTAGAGAATTTATCTCTACCTGACCCCTCAGAGGCAGCATCAGCACAGGCAATGGGGACTGGGCAAAACTTGAGCACTTAGGACTTGGAAATTTACTGAAGAGTGAGAGGCTGGCTGGCAGTTTGCACAGAAAAAATGTGTGTATTTATTTCCAGATATGAGGGGAAAGAAAAGCACTGCAGTACTGTCATGAGACAAAAGCACAAAAAAAGCAAGCAAATGTATTTTGGGCCGAGCAGTTGTGGGAACTGTGAAGACAGGAACTTCATTTGTTGCACTGCATCTGCAAGAGGGTTGCTGCAGGAACAGACCCAGATTTCTGGTGTGTTAAACCACCAATACCTCAGGAGGTTCCTCTTCTGCTGATGTTGACATTGGTGTTGCAAGGGTGTCAGATCAGGCAAATCTCTGGGTAGGAACTGGACTATGGGGGCAGGTGTGGCTGCCCCATGCCCCAGAGCACGTCACCTCCAGCCCTGTGGTGAGGTGAGCAGCAAACACCTCATCCCACAGCTGAACATGAGACCTTGTCTGTCTTTGGGCACTCGTTAGAAATATACACTATTACACTCAGTGGATCCTTGAAAAGGCCCTTAGTACATTCCAAGAAAGCTACAACAAATACTTTTCTAAAGGGTCCTATTCTCTGACAATTTCTCAAGATTGCTTGCTGTTCCCCCTCTCCAATTCTTGTTTATGTCCACTTTATTTCAAACCAAACAAAACTAGATCATTTTAATACTAACAGTATCGCTTTAGTCATGACTACTAAACATTACCTCAGATGGTTGATTCATCTGGTTTCACTGGGAAGAGTTTGTGCCAATAAAAAATGCAATAAAACACCATGGTGCCCTAACTGTGAGGCTTTTCTGCTTCCATGCCTTTACTTCAGATTTACAAGGCTTAAGTAGCATGATGTTTGCCATGCTAGGGGTGAGCATGGGCCAGCACATCCTAGCCAGAGCACCATTGCATTCTTGCAGTTTCCCACTACTATAAGATATCTGTTCAAAACTGTATAATAAATAAAATGTAACCGTTTTCCTATAGAGGTTTAATATGGCATAAAACGTAACAAAGCAATAGCTTTCATGGCTTTCTCACAAAGTTTGATAATGCTGTGGGGGAGTCTAGAACAGTTTGTCCTTCTTCCCTTGGCTCATAGCTGTGCAATTCTCACCTGTGAGCAGGCACAACTCTAGTGGTGCTTCCAATTTTGACTATCCTCACTGTCCCTTCCTTGGTAAGTATTTACAGCAGCGCTTCACCAGGAGCAAGCAGCAGTGCAAGAAAGATGCACATGTGCCCAGCAAAGAATGGTTCACCTTCAAAGGACAGGTTTATGGAACCTAGCTTAGCTGTCAAGAAAGAAAAAATAAAAAAAATACAGCTCCCTGCTAATAATACCAAAGATAAATTAACTTCCGGAATTATTTGCTTAATACCTGCCTATTTTTGATGCCTTGTTTAGGATGGGATGAGTCATGCTGGGGACATCAGATTCTCTCCTTCGCTCTCCGTTGGCTACAGAGGCAGAAAGTGATGACTGGCTTGTGTTGAACTTCTACTTTCACAGCAGCTGTGCTTAGGAGAAGCAGATCCAGGCATAGTAGCCAGAAATAAAAATCCACAGTCCTTTGGTAGCAAGGCCTATCTGAACTGCCTGTATAATTATCAGGACTGAGGGTAGCAGGCACGCAATAACTGATGAAGGAGGAAATGGGTGTGAATTAATTTCCCAGATCTGACACACTGTCATGTCAGGTCACTCCTCAGCCCAGCCCCAGGGAGAAAGAGAAGCAGCCATACTAATTAAACCACAGGGCACTGATGCCCTAAAATATGACATGAGGTCACATGGAAAGGAAACAGCATCCTAGATATGCAGAGAGTGCAGGGCACCAGACTAGGGAAATGTTTGTCGTAAGTGCTTATCCTCTGTGACCATTCCTGTAACCAAGAACAGTTTATTAAGTGCTATCCAAAATGTACATATTATGGAAGTGATGTTGGCATGAAGATAGAATGGGTGAGTGGCACTGGATGCCATTAGTTTTATAGACATGGAAGTTTAGGATACATTAATGAGGTGAGAGCAGGTTTGGCACCGGTAGAGTGTTTGAAGCGCAAGACTCATGAGCAGTGGCTGGAACCACTTGGCTTGTTCAGCTTGGAGAAGGATAAGGAGTGACTCCACCACAGTCTAAAGCTTCCTCCCAGGGGCGAGTGAACGGGGAGTTGCTGATCTCCGTTTTGGGAAGCAGTGACAGGACACAGGGAAATGGAATGGACCTGCATTGGTCAAAGTTCAGACTGAATATTAGGGAAAGGCTTTTCAACCAGAGGGTGGTCACTCACTGGAACAGGCTCTCCAGGGAAGCAGTCATGAGTTCAAGGAATGTCTGGAGGATGCTCTTACGTGGTGGTTTAGGTAGTCCTGGGGGAAGCAGAGAGTTGCTCCTTGTAGATCCCTTCCAACCTGAGATATTCCAGGACTTCTTTGGACAGCTGTTAGGGATAATGTAAGAGTTGTTATTCAAAGTCCTTCTGTCTAGCTACAGTTTTGGTAAAGGAATGATCAGTGTTTAAAGATAGTATTTATATTAAGGTGACGACATTCACTGAAATGAAAGCGAAGCAAAACACCAACACTTACTAGACAAAACTCAACCAGTAGGTCCTGCTATGCTGATAGTGCAACTGACGTGAAGAAAAGGGCCAGTACTACCCTTGTCAGTGCATGTTAGCCTAGTTTGAATGCCAATACCAGCAATTATTATCCCCTTGATGAGAACTAAAAGAGATTTAGGTAATATAGAGAGATTTAATAGTAATGTGAAATTATCAAAGTAGCAGATATTTTATTGATATCCATTCTGATCCCCCCTTTTGTTTCTGGTTAATTAGTGTTTTAGCTTCAACATTCCTGAATACTGGCAAGGCAGATCCCTGAAGATGAGGAAGAGTCATTTATATCAAGCACCATCTCTCAGGGGCCAGGACACTGAGAGTTCTGCTGCTTGGGAAGGAACTCAGTTAAGAAGCTTGAGGACTTTTGAAGTTTCTTCTTACAGTCTCCCACACACCAGAAAA